GGACAATAAACCCTACACCTACCCTAACCCTACCCGATACTTTATTTTCATTATTTCCTTTATTTTTATTGAAAACAAATGCCTTTTCGATGTGATATGAGATTTGAAAAGGGAGAAAAAAAGTTTGGCAAAAGGCGAGTTCGATTAACACGTGCTTTACCATCTACGCCACTGGAGCTGATGTTTAATTGCCATTTTTTTGTAGTGTTGACTACTCCAATCACACGTTTGTGGGTGGAGTTAGTGTAAATAGCCTCTGCCAACAAGGCGGGCTATTTGCACTTAGTGTAAATAGACACTCCGTAAAATTAAACTACTACTGCTAATAATAATTGTTTAAAAAGCAAGAATAAAGTTTGAAGTCAGTATTATGTTATTTAACAATGACACATTAAAAGTATTTATTTGTTGGAAATAATTTAGTTTGGAAACTAATAGTTAATTTAAATAATGCAATTCTTTATTTTTTTCAGTTTTGGCAAGAATTTTCAACTTACTGTCTTGTAGAGGTGGAACGGTTCGCGGAAAAAAATCGAACTGTACGGTTCGGCACACACTAGGACCGCGGTTCAAATTAAATCTGACAACGCATCTGAAATATGGTTTGCTATAAATAACACGTAAAACAAACAGGGTTCGGCTAATGTATGTTTCTGCTTATGGATGCGCATTCTGGCTTCCCAATACATTACAACAACAGCGATGAAAAAAAAAATGAACAAACCATTCACTCTTGTTCAATGTGAATGCTGTATGCTGGAATATGAGCAGTTATTTATTCCATCATCACCCGGGTGCTGATAGCGCGCACGCACAGGTGAGACCTGAACAGCACACGTTGATATCAGTGTTTAAACTAAACTCATTTATTAAACCTTGCCAGGTTAAACATTTAAGAGCCAGAGGATGCAAGCTCGCGCCTCAGAAAACTCGCAAATATTAAGCTTTCTCTGAAGTATTGTGTTTAAATGGACAAATTCACACAAAAATTATGTCAAAATGCCAAAATGCTTGGTAAGTATCCTATAGCAGACATAGCTGGCTGAATGTACTTACAGTGTCTTAAAGTGACAGCGCTTTCTTAATATTAATCAAACAGCAACAACAAAGAAATCACTCACTGCTCTTGATTGAATAGCTTTTGTAACTTTAATAAAGATTAATCTTTAATTTATACAGTCAAATATGCAATGCTGTTTTACATTTCATTACTTTATTAAATTTCTGTACCTAAAAACTAATGTTAAAAATAAAAAACTGAAAAAAACCCTGAAAATCAGTGTTTATTTTGTTTGTATCTTTACTCTATTGTATTTATTTGTGCTGCTGCTTGTAGTTAGATAGATTATTCTTATTTTCTTTATTTTTATTTGACAGTATAGTTTTTCCTTAAACATAGCACATAACGAACCGTACAGAAACCGTGACTCTAAAACCGTGATACAAACCGAACCGTGAGTAAATTGAACCGTTCCACCCCTAGTTATTATAGTTAACTAAAACCATAAAATACACCATAAAAATCAAACTCATTACTTGAAATACAAGAAACATTAACTGAAATAAAATAAAATATATAAAAAATGAAAGTTGAATTTATTTAAACTACACTGTGAAAAAAATTATTTTCCTATTTGTCAAAGTACTTTTTACAATTAAATTCTATTTTAGGGAGAAATAGCATGTTATTGTTGCCTGTAACCCCCCCAAAAACGTATGATGTGACACTGTAAGTATAATGTATATTTGAACCTTGTGATAAAGTGGTTCTTAACCAGAAATATAGTTTTGCTGCAGAAGCTTTATCACTATTTTTTAACGATATACTAATTAAATACAAACTAAGTATACAGTCAACATTCACAGTTAAAACTAAATCATGACCAAGACTAATTTGCTTACACAGCAAGGCTTTAATTTAAATGACCAACTCTAAATCTTGATGTTTCCCACTGGTACAATAATTACAGTACAACATTGTGGCGACATTCGTGTGCTCTCTCAGCTTGTAAATACAATGATGGACTCATAAAGATTGTGATTTCCACCATAATTAACATAATCAATTTTTATTAGTGTGTTTTTGCCATTTTTAGTATTTTTTAAAATAAGTTTTTGATTGAGTTATTTTAGCAAAAATAAAACTAAATAAAGCAATATTTTGATGTGATATAATATGCGTAATATATATTTATTGTATACATGATATACAATTAATATTCAGTAAAATTTAGCATGCCACCATATGACAATCAGAATCAGTAATAGTCAGTTTGCATAAAAAAAAAACGTTCACATAAAATATTATGCATTCGTTTGTTCTAAAGGCTTATGCAATATTTTGGGTACCATTTATATAATAAATGTTGTCTCATTCTGTAAGATATAATTATCTTATTTGAGGACATTCAAAATAACATGTTTTCACAAATAGAATGTTGTAAATGTTAATTCATTGCTGATTGCTGATTTTACTTATGTTTTAGTTATAACTGGTGTTTCAGTTTGCTTGGAAGGAACAGTGTTTTGTGTTATCAAGAAAACATCAACACTAACTAATATGTTCCTAATTTATGTCTTTATAAAAGTAGCCTAATGACGGGAAATTATTATGCATTAGGTCTCTTATTATTATTACTATGTCTGTTATTATGTCTCTTGTAGACATTTTGTGTGACAGCAACGTTAGCCTTAAGAACCTTTGCTAGACGCTTTGAAGTGTTAAAAAAGCATGTGCAATATAGCTTTCCAATTGTCACGTCTAATCTCTTTTCCCATAAATCTTCATGCTTCAGTGTGAGCCGCTCAGACCTCAGAGGTGTGGCCATAATAAGCAGATTATTGTGTTGCTAGAGGAAGCCAAAGGCTTGAAGCAGTGGTGTGGCTGGCTTGATGTGACCTCAGGGGACAGAGGTGCATTTTTTGGAGTTCAGTGTACATGTACAGTCATATGAGTTCATGGCTAGAAGGCACATTACAAACCTGACACACCTTCAGTGAGGCTATTGTTTGCTTTTGTAATACTCTATTTGATCCTTCTCTGAATTAAAAAAGGCAGATGTTGTATGTCCATATGTCCATTTTAATTGTGGTAAATGAAGTCTTTAGAAGTCTCAGAATTACTGCATCTTGTGTGTGTTAATGTATTTTTTTCTTTTATGGACATCAAATGTATTTTTCCACCACATGCAGGGTATACAGTGACATCACCGCTTTGGCCGCAGTGACATCATCAACAACATGAGAAATGTTCAATTATTTGCTGTCACGACTGATGTCAGAGATTACTGTACATCATGAGGTCATGCGTTAAGTAATGCCTGAATTGATGACCTCAGTATCACAACATCATTTTTGAAACTCAAACGTGGTGTCACATTTCTTCCTCTTTCAGAATAGTCCCATTGTACAGCGAAAAACAATACTTGAGTGCTGGTCAACGTTAAAGCTATTACTTTTATAAAGCACCATTTTAACAATTATTCACAATGGTTAAACGTTTGGAATTTGGATCTTTTGAAATGTTGACAGAAGCTATCGACTTCTATAGTTTTTTCCCGTTTTATGGAAGTCAGTAGTCGGGTTTCTAAGTTGCTAACTTAGTTGTTGTTGTTGTAACTTATGTGCAAAATTGGAATATTGCATAAAACATATGCGAATAAGTACCGTTTCCATCCAACGAGTCAAAGCAATCGTCACTTTCTGCGAGTCAAAGCAATCGTCACTTTCTGATAAACTGGCATAAAATATCAATAAGAAAAGTAGGAGAAGCCACTAAATATAATAATTTTCAAATATAATAAATTACTTGTGCCTCGGAGCGAGCAGAATAAACAATAAATGTGGTCATTGCTTTCAGAGGTGAATGCCAGCTGTTTGGGAACGCAGTCGTGTAAGAGAATTCTGAGGCAATTATACTGAAATACTTTTATGACAGATTTACTTGGGCATTTCAGAATGACCGTAACAACATTTCGGATGCTGTTCACATGACTTTTTTAAACGCTCATACGGAATTTATTCGCAAAATGCGTTTCCATCTCCCATTATTTGCATTAACCCTTTTTCACACAAGTAAAAAACCACCTCAAGCGAGCATAAAAACGTTTTTGCGAATTAAGGGATTTCTTTTCACGTTTCTATCACTCGTTTCTGATGCGATGCTTCAAAATGCGCATAAAAAGAGGGTGATGGAAACTTTTTGAACTTTTTGGTTACCGACATGCTTTAAAATATCTCCTTTTGTGTTCAACAGCTGAAAAAAATTCATACAGGTTTGGAAAAACTTGGGGGTGAGTAAATGATGATAGAATTTTCATTTCAGAGTAAACTGTCTCTAAAAAATATGACTGATTCCAAACTTTAGACTGGTTGTGTATACTCAGATTAACATTTTTGTTAATTTTAATAAACAGAACTGCATGTGTCTTGCAGAAGAATATTGTAGCTGGATTTACTTCTCTCTGTTTATGTCTATGATTGATGTGTCACGCGGGTACTGGGCTACTCCACAGCTGTTCCTACCAGAACCAGTTGAAAATAATCCAATTATAAAACTTATTATACAGTAGGTGTACTCACATGATGTACTCACTTATTATATAAATTTAGTAAATTATGAACACAAAAAAAGTTACGGACTGCAGCTTTAAATAGCCCAATCACATTTTTCAAAAACTTTCAGCTGTTTTAATCCTGACTTGAAATGTGTTGAATCAATGTAAAACATACTACTGACAAACTGTTTTCAGTCTTCCCTCATTTAAGTTGGTAGGAGCTGTGCTTTCATGACTGGAAAAGGGACTTTGATATGTTTCGAGCAGCACAAGCATGAAAACTGAATCCTTGCTGTCTTTATTGTACAACAACAAGTTTATTTTTTTTTGCAATATGAGATATCCATCAGACTTGTAATTCCTACACACACACACACTGATTTTATCTACTGTGACTGACAACAAAATCAACAACAACAACAAAATTAAAAATGACCCTTGTGCATGCTTAGGAAAACTAAAAATAGCTCAATTAAATTTAATGACAACAATATGTTTCTTCATTATTTAGTTACGCTTTCATGACTGGAAAAGGGACTTTGATATGTTTCGAACAGCACAAGCATGAAAACTGAATCCTTGCTGTCTTTATTGTACAACAAGAAGTTTATTTTTTTTGCAATATGAGATATCCATCAGTCTTGTAATTCCTACACACACACACACACACTAATTTTATCTACTGTGACTGACAACAAAATCAACAACAACAACAAAATTAAAAATGACCCTTGTGCATGCTTAGGAAAATTAAAAATAGCTCAATTAAATTTAATGACAACAATATGTTTCTTCATTATTTAGTTAATATATTGAACTAACTTATTTAGTACAGAAAGTTCAGTATGATCTCTGCTGATTTTACTGAACCACAAAATCTTTCACTGTACTGTAATGTATAAATCTGGCTAGTCATGAGATAAAAGGCTAAATATAATTCATGAAGACATAATAAGTCACTGTAGATTGATGAATGCAAATCAGTTAATGTGAAGATAGGCAGTTTGTATGACATATGATTCTCCTCGGCGCCAGCCGGTGAGATCAAATTCTCTTCCCTTTAGTCTGATCTGATTATATATGACGTGGCATGTCATTTTCTGATATCCTGAGCTGCTGCAAAGACATTCTGAAATCCTGTTGTTTAATGTTGTGTAAGCTCTCTTGCTTAATACAAATTGCAGGTATGAATAACAAAATATAAAACAAAATCAAGTCATTTTTGAAGCATGGGAACTGACTCTCCTGCCAAACTCCTTCTGGCTGTCTAACTCACTGATTCTTGTTTGTGTTACACACCTTACACAAACACTATGGCTTCAATCCAAACCATAACTATGTAACGTCTACAAGGCCACTAACCTTCTAGGCAGGGTTATAATAATAATAAAATTTCACAATTCTCTATACCAGTTTCTACACCTGCAAAAATAAACATGCTATTGTACATACTTCTTAGATTAAAAGTTAAATATTAATAGAATTATAAATATTAAAAAACAAACAGTGGAATGTAGACTTTAAGTATTTGTTAATAAAGTGTCTAAAAATGTAAACGTTAAATATTAATATGAATATAAGAAAACTGAAAGTGGAATGTAGTCTTCAAGTATTTATTAAGTAATGCCATTTCTTTTGCTTTATCAGCCGTCTTGGATAAACTTGTTCACTGAGCTTTTTCAATGAATTATAGAAATTTGGACAAAACTTTAGGCTAATCTACTATTGAACTAAAGACACCTTAGAATGCTAGGTAGCCTGCTCACTAGGTTTCAGAACAGATTTGCGATTTGTTGAAAAATATGCCGTGGCAAATATCAAAGATAAGATAAAATTTGTTCAATTTTAAATGTAAATTAACTTGTCTTTCAACTTGCAAGTCTTGGCTAGTTTTATAATGCATGCCTGTGCAATTTGTTATTCAGTTATTTTGTTTCACTTTCATATTTGTAAGTCTCTTATGCTCGCCAAAGCTACATTTAATTGATCAAAATCACAGTAAGTTATGAGTGAGATATTTTTAACATGGCTGTATTTCTTTATCATGCAGTAATATCGTGAAATATTACTGCAATTGCAACTGTTTTCTATTTTAATATATTTTAAAATGTTAATTATTTCTGTGATGTCAAAGCTGTATTTTCAGCATCATTACTCCAGTCTTCAGTGTCACATGGTGCTTCAGAAATCATTCTAATATGCCGATTGGCTGCTCAGGAAACAGTTATTATTATTAATGTTAAAAAATTTTGATACACTACCTTTCAAAAGTTTAGGGTAAGCAAGATTTTTTTTAAAAGGAAATTAATACTTTTATTCAACAAGGACACATTAAATTGATCAAAAGTGACATTAAAGACATTTATAATGTTACAAAAAAATGTGTTTCAAATAAACCCTGTTCTTTTGATCTTTCCATTCACAAAAGAATCCCCCAAAAAAGATTGATCACTTTTTCCACAAATATATTAATCAACAAAAGAGATTTATTTCAAAAGCATCATCTTCAACATACATGAAACCATCTTAATTATTACAAACTTTTGACTGATGGTGTAATTACATAACCCACCAATGCTGCCACCTGTAGACTAGACTGCATACTCCAGGTAAGATTTACTACTTCTGTTGCATACTTACAGATTTATAATTGAATCCTCAGCAGAGATATTCGTATAGTGAGAAGGTGTGAAGAGTGTAATTAAACAGATCAAAGATTTCTGATAGCTGTGATAGAAAAAAGCCCCTGTGTTCCCAGAGGACTGTGGGAGATGGTGAACTGCTAATGACAGAGAGCAAAGACATGTTTAGTCATGCACAGGACATTGGTATTTTTTGCTTATCAGTAGCTTTATTTCAAAGTATAATGGCATGTTGTTATGCAGTTACCTTGTCACAACAAATTACGTGATTAACGGCTTTGCTTGTCACTTGATGATTCTTTCCAGAGCTTTAGTATGGGATGATATTAGATTCAAAATGATTAATAGATTATCCATGTACTGCATACATTTTATACATGTATCTTACTAACCACAAACAAATACCTTTCAATTTGAATCTATGGAATTCAGGATTAAATGATTGTGCAGCGATTTGTACAAATACAGACATGTTTGCAAATAAAAATGCTCTGTTCTGCATTAATATATCATAAATTACTCATGCATAAAGGAATCTGTGCATATGTGGATCAGGTGACACACGCGCATTAATTGATGTCTAGTTCGAGTCGATCTTGTTCGGTTTTTTTTTAGACTTAATTTTCGCAGTTTACAGCATTTCACGTCCCCCATTAATTTACATTACATTAGGAAGGAATAACTGACAACGTGCCGTTGAATTACAGAAAGAAAGAGAAAAAAACAAGGTACCGTCACAAAGTTCTTGTTTGGCAAAATTAATATAAGCTATTATGTGTCTTAAGACAAGTTAAGTTAGAACAAGTTCAATAAAACATCTTTATTATATTTCTACAGTAGAGGAGAATAGCCAAACCAAAAAGAAACAAAGAAAACACACTGTAACATTCATAAAACCGTAATCAATGGAATGCGCACATGTGACTGGGGCTAGTGCCATCTAGCGGTCGCTGATTTTCTTAGGCTCAGCTGCGCGTGGATCGCGAGCTGTGTGTGTGTGGATTGGGCAAGGCTAAAAGGGCGGAACGAAAGTCTCAAAATTCAAATGAATCAAGTAGAATCGACTCAGATGAGATGTGAATGAATGCACGCGTGTCACCTGATCCACAAATGCACATTTTAACCGCTACATGCACAAATCCTAATACTTTAGTACAAACTATACCATTTGTATTCACAAATATGTCTCTATTTGAACAAAATGCTGCACATTAATGTAATTCTTAACTCTGCAGACACCGGTTGAAAAGCATTTATTTCAGTGTAGTGACGCACATTTTCGAATTTTTCAAATCGTGTACACGTTAATGAATTGCACTGGGCCTTGTTTACATGTATAAAATGTATGCAGTACATGGATAATTGTGTGTGCGTCTATTAATCATTTTGAATCTAATATCATCCCATACTTTAGCTACACACACACTTCAAATACTTGTAGCATAGTGCAGTGTTTCTAGAGCTCAGTTCAAATCTGCCTTGGATCTTTTGATTTTTGTTGTGTTTTTCCTTTTGTTAAGTATGATCAAAAATCCTGACTTTCACTACTGGATAATGCAGGATTTTGTTAGTTTGTAGCTGCGATGTGACATTCCACATAGAAACGTGTGGAATTTGACATGTGAGGACCTGCAAACTACCCAGCACTCCTCTGTTTTACAGACGCTTAAATGTTAGGTACAGCTTTGATCTAGGCACACTCAATATGTTGCTCTAGTTATTTAATGGAGTTCAAGGTTTTCCGGCACGATAAGAGGTGTGTACTCAACACTCAACACAGATCACTCACTCCACACCCTGGAGAAACGTGTTGCTGAAAGACCAAAAAATTTAAATTTTAGTCTCATCATTTTATAATATATAGTTTAGTCTATTACAGCATAGTTCTAAATCACATTTTATATATATAATAATAAATGTTTTAAAAAATATATATATTTTATTTAAATTCAGTTAATGTTTATTTCAAACTGTTTTTATGGTCTTAGTTTCAGTTTAATAAATGATAATAACCCTGAGTCATGCAGTTTCGGAACAACACAAGGGTGAGCAAATGATGACAGGTTTTTGAATTTTGGCTGAACGTTATCTTTAATCAAAGTGAAACATGAAGCAAGATTTAAATGACAACATACTTGAGAAAAAAAGTCAACAAACTTGATCCAAAATGCATGTGTTGGAAATACAATTAATCTACAATTACTTTAATCTGAGTGGTCAGATCTGATTAGTACCATTTTTTTCAATCAGATATTGACTAAACTGCCTGAAAAAAAAATCAGATTTCATTAGTTGTACAATTATAGTAAAATTAAAGTGCAAAAGAATTTATGTGCAAGTGTGAACAAAAGCTTAATGCTGTCCTGTCATTTGATTTGATTTGCTGCATTTGTTTGCACGGTCAGACAAGAAGTTTTATACTGTATGCCCAAAAACTGCAATAGCTGGAAAAATCAGTCAGACAAAGCTTTTAGCAAAAGAGCTGCTTCATTAATTTTTTTCGAGAGCTGCCTTCAGTGATTTGCTAGTTTTTTGCTTATTTAATAAACTGTCTCTGATCTGGCAGGTGATGTAGTTTACAAGAGTATTGCATCAGGACAAAAATACATTTCTAGAAAGCAGTTTTATATGTTGGTAGAACCAAGTTCACAGAGTTGTGAGATATATAAAAACACTACTACAATAAATGAAGACCAAAACTTTTTTCCAGGGACATATATATAAATTGGCTCTTGTAGATCAGTTAACATAATAGCACTGAACATTGACAAGCCTTTTTTATGCCATTCAAAATCTTATTTTTTTTCTCCATCAGCATGTCATGATTTGCAGTTTTATGTGGTTCATATATTTTTGTCAGCTTTCGCCTTTTGTGTTTTTTAGCATTGCATTTTTAATGTACCGTGTCAAGTTGCAATAAAAGTTGTTTGACTTTAAAAAACACATCTTGAGATCCCTCCTGTACATTTGTTTCATTCCGTTGCACTCTATCTATCTTGAATACAATAAAACATCCTGTGTGAATGATAGTGACTTGGAATGTTATAAATTCAAAACAAGTTTGATCTGTGCACATCATCTTTGACATTCTGTTGATTACTGCTCAACCCTGAATCTGTACAGTAATGCTCTTGCACTGGAAGTCAACAGTACAAATGTTCCTGAGATTTTAAAGCTGAACTTTTTTTTTTTGCTACAACACTATTTAAGAAATAGTTTAGAAAATTAGCTGAAAATGCACTAGCCCATCCAAAATGTAGTTTGTTTCTTCATCAGAACATCACAATAATCCACAAGTAATCCAAATGAAGTAAAAGGCTGCATGTTTGTAATAAACAAATCCATCATTAAGATGTTTTTAACTTCAAACCATTGCTTCCAGCATAAATACAGGTCCTTTCTTCAAAATATAGCTTTCTCCAATGAAAAAGTCATCTAGTCTGATTCAGGAGAGAAATATGCACAGATCAAGCACTATTTACAAGCAAAAAGAGTTCTAAACAAATAGATAAATAAATATTGATAACTTGTGGATTGTGATGTTTTTTTTTTCAAGTTTCATTCTGACGGCACCCATTCACTGACTTTCATCTTAAAAATAACTTGTGTTGGTGTAACCTTATCTAGTCATATTAAATTGAATTTTTTAACTTGAATAAAAACAGCTTTTTAGGTTCAAATGAAACACTTTTTAGGTCACATGACAAGACATTTTTACTAGGGCTGCACGATATATCGTTTTAGCTCCGATATCGCGATGTGTGCAGAGAACGCAGGCCACGGTTGCTAAGCAACGCCAGACGCCATGAAAGCACAAGCTCCCGAGCGCTTTGGAAAGAAGGAGAAAGCGGCGTGACTGGCGTTTTCCCATGCGTTTTTAGGCGCGCCATGTGAACGGCCCCAAAGTCTGTCTACACTGGACGCGACAAAGCGACTATTGCTCATCATTTGAACTTTGTGTCAGTACGTCATAAAGAGAAAGCGGCATCAGTTTACTGTTGGGGATCTGTCGTACCACGCCGCATCCAGTGTAGACAGCATCACTGATTATAATGGGTTCATTGTATTTTGTTGCGCCGCTCGCGTCCAATGTAGACACGGTGAGAGCCACGCAGATGCACGTGAACACTGAATTCTGATCACTTCTGCGTCTATTTGTGCCTGAAATACTGTGCTCTATTTTACATGTTAATTTAAATTGTAATGAACTGTATGTCAAATGTATTCATCTTGAGATTTGCTTAAGATTATGTTTAAAATTGTGTTAAATTATTATTTTTGAGCATCAGAAGGCAAAGGTTATCTAAATGTTAAAACAGAAAACACGAGCATGCACAATTGAATATCAACAGATCAATAAATTAAAAAATCTCTAATATTAATAATTAGAATGACCTGATATGGTAACTGAAATATTGTTTATTTTGAAACCGTGTATTTTAGAGTTTATACTAGTGTCATTCTCTGCACTGATGAGCTGAAATGATTGTTTAACTGTTGGCATGTCACACACTGTCAATAGAGCATAGCCTATTTTGAACCTTGAACATTCCTTTTAGCATGTAATGGTTTATATCTAATAACCTGTTTATTATCCTTTCAGCAATCATTTTATTATAAGATTCATGTAATGGAAGCTCATGGCCTGTTGGAACAGTATAAAAGGAGGTTATCAGGGTTCAGCAAGTTTGGGTTTTGTCACCTTGTGTTAGGTGTGAAGCTGTGCTTCTGCTGCCAGATTGCATTATGGGTGAGAAACTGCACTGCAACTACTAGTGAAGCTGCATGTTAGTGAGACTCTGCTGCTTATTAGCTTCCATTTTTGATGATTAATGAATCCTTTATGAATTCACTGAATGCATGAATTGTACTTTGGGAGCTTCCTTTTCTTTATATGATGGAATACGTACATATCAAGCAATAAATGATGGAAGTGGGTTTTTAAATTGAATATCGTGATGCCAAATATAATGCAGACACACATTTGATCCTAACAAAAGGATCTCAATATATATCTGATCTCTGTATAAAGAACAGGGTGGGATTGTTTATGTCATGACACTCATTGGCCAGCAGAGGACAGATGTGAGAGGATTCTCTTTGATATACCTGTTTTCATTTTAAACCATAATGGACATACAGCTACATAACCACTCAGCTCTCAGTTAATATTAATAGAAATGGGGACCACAAACCAGCAAGAGCAGACAGTTGCTGTAGCGCTCTGTTACAATCTCGCTCCCAGAGAACGAATCCATTGTTATTGGTTCAGAGCACATTTGTGGTGTTGGTGAATAGTAAATGGCACTGCACTCAGAGGAGACACAGCGATGAGTAGGTAATTGTACGGCACTATTCAAATGACTGTGACTGTTTTTTAAAGCGCACCAGCATTTTGATAATGTAAGTGATGTTGAAGCATAATATTGAGCCATGTAAACAACCCACAATGTACTTTCTCTACATCTCCATCTTTTTAACTTCTTATCACATGCTGTGCAACTGGAAAATCGGATCACATGATGCTTTAGCAGCTTCTATGCTGGTTCCTCTCTGGAGGTTGAGTAAGCTCTCCAGTTTATTGTTCTCTGGCCAGAGGCGTTGCACAGACTCTCCAACTAAGCGCTTTCCTTCATTCAATGAATCACTGCTGGTGTAATACAGCACAACAGTAGTAAAATCCCAGTTATTTTTCTATAGAGATATTTTACCTTAGACTCAGAGGTTATAGAGCAATAATCAGTGCATCTGTAGAAGCCACAAGTCAGTGTGATTTCAACATATATATTTTTTTACATAATCTATAGTTTCTAAATTTCCAATATTATTATTGTTGAAAGTAAAATATGACAAACAATCAAAGAAAATACATTGCTGTCTGTTAGTTTTATATTAAGGATGCACAATATAATGGCTATCACTAGGGTTATTATGGTTAATAAAAATAAATACAAACAAACAAACTTTCATTACTTGAAATCAACTTTAACTGAAATAAAATTATAAAAAAATATTACATCTATTTTATTTCAGCTAGTTCACAAGGCAGCATTTCTCATTTTCATTTAGTTGAACTTGATATACCAACTAAAATTAAAAAAATTTAATAAAAAATAAACTATATACAAAACTAAAAATGTAACAAAAATAAAATGAAAACAAAAAAAAAAGTTGTACCAAAATAACATTATTGGTTGATATTAGTGGTTTCATTTTTAAATGTTGATATTGGATATTTATTCATGCTTGCTCATTTATGATTTTTTTTTTTACATTTTACCTATGCTGGCAACTATAGTTAGTCTTTAATACTACTAATAATTTAATATAACTGCCTGTAGAAGAACATGTATGTCTCACAATTAAGATTTATTTTTCATACTTTTGTTTATAATGTTGTAATGCCTAGGATTTAAAACTATAGATTTTTTTATTATTAATTTGTATTCATATTTAATTAATAATCTATATTAACTTATTATTAACATTTTTTACTTCCTTTTTGTTTTAAAATATACATTTTTCATATTGTACGTTATAATGTTTTGATGCCTAAATTTTGTAGCATTTACTGTAAAATTCTAAAAACAAAAATCATTTGTTTATTCAGAATTGTATTATCGACCATTTATGTCAGCTATCACCCAAAACGTCTAAATAATTATCAGCCAGAGTTCGAATATCACTGCATCCCTGTCTTATATAGTAGTTCTATTTCTGATTACATCATGGCTTAAAGCATGGATTACATCATATTATTACAGCTCTTTATTGAGAATTAAAAAAAAAACTTTGAAAAAAAGAAAACGAATGGGAAAATTACTTGCGTTCCCAAGTCTGGTGAAAAGATGGATGGTCACAGTTGCACTCTTTTGTTACATCTCGGCGAGAAGCTGCGTGAAATAAAAGAGATCATCTACTGACCAGTAACCCGACCCCGGTAGGTTTTGTCTGTGAACTCTCCTTATACTGGCATTTCACTAATGGCCACACTCAGAGCCGGCGGGTGTGCAATTTCTATCAGCAGGCGTTAATCAACCATTAATTAACCATTTCTTCCAGCCTGTGTTCAGTTCACCCCTCTTATTTGTAAAGGGGGGTTTCTCCATGGCAATTGCTTCATCTTTGCGCTCCTTCTCCACCGCCCTCTCTCTCTCTCTCTCTCTCTCTCTCTCTCTCCCTCCCTCTTGATGTTTGGCTGCTCGGGAAGAGCGCGTGTCTCCATCAGCACCATTTAGTCTTGTGTGAGGAGCACCAGTGAATCAGTAGACCCAACTGTGTTGGTCAGGGAGAGGTGGGCAGCTGGGTCAGAAGAACCAGCCCACGGATCTCTCAACCCACTCCAATAAAAGCTCCAGTGATTTCTCCTCCCCCGTCTCCCTCACAGTGACCTGTGGCGTGTGTAGGAGCTGGCACCAACCAAACCACCCAAAGCGCTCAAGTGCTGTTTGGACCGAGTTCATTGAGTGCGTGTTGACAATCGAAAACAAGAGGGCAGCAGGTATTAGAGCGACTCGCTTCTCGTGGACTTTTCTGTAGTTCTCATCATCACTGCTCTCTCAGTGTTGGATTAAATGAAAGGACCTTTTGTATAAGATGAGCGAAGACGCCAAGGAAAAAGGGACCGGCAAGCAAGCGCTACGCAAGAAGAAGGGCAAAAAGGTAACAAGAAAGCTGCTTAAACATACAGATCTTTTCAGTTTAACGCTCAGGGCTTGTTTAAATCCTCCTTTTATGCCATTTGGAAGGGTTAATGGTGGTTGTTGATGTTGAAAAGCACTAGACGGGGATCTGGAGGAAGCTTAGTCTCTTTTGTTCTGGAGCGACTGAAGGGGTGTGCTCAGGGTAGCATGGTTTTGTTTTGAAGGTGTTTGACAGTACACTTTCAGGGCTGATTCTGGAACAGGATCTTCTCTTTGTTTGGGTTTGAGTTTTTCACAGGAGTTGGTTTTGATTATTGAACAACAAAAAAATGAATAAATAAAAAGTCGTGCGTATTTCATCAAATTATCTGTATATGCACAACCATTGCTCCATAAAAAGTTCAAACATGTCAATGTTTCTTACAAGAGCTGATCTGGTCTGACTTTTTAAAATGACATTTTTTGTTTGTGTAACCTGATGTCATATTAAACAATAATTTTGACTTGAATTAAGCTGATTACTTATATTTGACACAACACATTTTACACACAAAGCTTATTTATATTTATGTATTTTTATATTTTTCAACGGCTCTTCTTTTATAATGACTAAGATATGAATACTAGTGTTATACACATATTTAAATTCAATTTGTTCTTTTGTATACTTACTCTGGACAGATGTTTTCTCTGTCTGTCTCTCTCTCTCTCTTTTTCTTTCTCTTTCCCTCCACCCACTCCGTCTATTCTCTGCACGAGCAGTATAATCTGCTTAATTGCAGCCATTCAGATGCATTGGCAGGAGCTGTATCTGAGTCAGCGCTGGGTGGTACTAGCTACTGGTCAGCTCTGCTGGCTTTACAAGTGTTTGCTTTAAATGTTTGGGAGAATTTGAGGAATTCCCATTCGTCCCTTGTAACAGGTGCAGTCGCTGCTTTCACGTAGTGATTAGAAGGGAGCTTTTAATAAATTCGAAGACAGTCATTCTAATCAGAAGTGAAATATGTGTGTGTGTGTGTGTGTGTGTGTGTGTGTGTGTGTGTTTGTGCATATTTGGCAATCACACTGACAGCGCCATCTCTCTTGGTCTCTTTATGCTACCCCAACCTGTTGGGGTCCATTTCACACTGGGAATGTAAAGAAAATTTATATATTTTTGTTTATAAATTACGTTG